ACACCAAACCAGTGATAATATATTTAAATAAGTACCATTTATGTTTCTATCAAAAAGATTTAGGAAAAAAGGTAATGTAAGTCCACTGCTGTTTATCTGAATTTGCAAGCCACAAATTGACGTTTAACTATGATTATTGCATGGCCATTTTCTTGTGAAATATTAGTGCTTGGCATTTCACACTTACCAATGACCACCCCCAAAAGTACCATCTCTGAACCATATAAGCACCTTAGAATAGCCAAAGCTTTTATGGTTTGGTAGATAGCAGTATGGCGAAAGCGTCGTTTTTGGGTGTGGTCAGTTTCGGACGTTTCGTCCCGGATTGGGGTTCGGGCAGCGTTACCATGTTGACCGTCATGGTCAACTTACCCTAAAACAGTTGAGATTATCTGTCCTAAATTAAATGCATACAAACTCATATACAGGTCCTAGACTAATGTGAGCATATTCAAAACGGCACGTAAAATTTGGTATGAAATGGGATCTTTTACTTCATAATGCGAAAGTAGGATAAACATTTTCACAGTAAGAATTTTCTGACATTGCTTGGCTACTATGTTTCAATAATCATATAGCCCGAAATTGACCATGCATCACATGCATGCATTTAAAACAACTAGAATTGGAAAAAAAACCTACAATTTGAAAACTTATAACCGTTATAACCGTTTTTGTGTTAATCAGCCGGCCTGCTTGGAATGCATTGAAAGTTCATTGTAAAGTGTTTTTCAATTGGTTAGATTTCTATTATTGGTATAACTGCCGCCGACACTCCAAAAATAGTGAGCGTGAATCTTTTTTAGTGCGACTGCAATCGTTGACATTGCATTGACAGTGTATACGGAAAACTATAAAGGCTGTAAGATATCTCCGTTTTATGAAAAAAGCACAAAAAAGCACTGTTCAATTTTACGGGAGACATAAAGTCAAATTAAATGTTTATAGTTTGGTGTGTTCAAATTTATATTTCAACCTATCTCACTGAGCAGAAAACACTATTTTAATCACGTCCGCGCTTTGACAAAAAAGAAAAAATGTCGTCAAAATCGAGTTCAAAATGCATGTCTTTTCCTCAGCAATCGCTTCGTTCATTTTGCAAGTCAAATATATACCAATTTTAGCAATATAAGCTGGTACTAGATATTTCAATAAACATTTATAGTATGTATTCGAGGCAGGAAGTGATTTCGTTTAATTGATTGATAATTGAAAATCTGTGTTGTTTAAATATCGTATTATCTGCATAAATAAGTATAATAATCGCGAATCCATTGTCGTGTGGAGTATACGGAAAGTATAAAGGCTGGAAGATATCTCTGTTTTATGAAAAAAGCACAAAGAAGCACCTTTCAATTTTACTTGAGACATAAAGCCAAGTTAAATGTCTATAGTTTGGTGTGTTCAAAATTGTCAGAAAACACTATTTTAAATACGTCCGCGCTTTAAATTTTGCAAATATTTTCATCGCTCGAGTAAAATTTTTTCCCTGATATTTTCTTTCAACGAGTGTTCAGGAACAAACAACACAAGCTATTACATGTGATATAACTAATAAAAATTTCAAACTTCAATTACCGAAACATAATTATTTAGCATTTAAATCCTTTGTTTTCTCGTTTGCTTGCTTACACTTTTTGTTGCCATCTTGTATGCGATTTTCTGACTTTTTAAAGAAAGCGCACTCGCGCCAATCCTAATGTGCATCACACGTAGCACGGCCATTTATTAGCGCGTTTCCCCGCCTGTGTTTTATAGCGCCCAGGTACTACTGCGTACTATTGCGCGGTTGAAGTTCAATTAAATTCAATCATTCAAAATCCTATTGGTATAATAATGGTATCGTAACCGTTGCTCATCTACCATAATTTCCATACTGAGACAGATGGAATTTAATTAAAATACATAACTCGTGCGAAGCAAAATGGCAGGTGTTAAAATTATTAATAAGCAACTAAACTTGTCATTATATTAATTTTACGATAATTTTTCCTTTTTTGACCGCCATTACTGATTACTCTTCACTAAAATATTTGTTGGATTTAGATTACTATTATTGAACAAGGTATGTAATATTTGTTTCATATTAATTAATTCACTTAAAAATTAGGCAAACTTGATCTATTTTCAGTGTTTTGATGTCATATAAAACAAATAATGAATGTTTTCATTTGCGCAATAATAGTAAAAATATATTTTAATTCGGTGAAAGATGGAAATTTCTTTTCGCTAGGCTGTCGCCTCCAGAAATGGAAAACTCCATCTTAATTTCACCTCATGAAAATATTTGAACAATATATATGTACTGTATACAACTAGATTTACCTGTACGCGCTTGCTGTTGTACTTCTTAGATGTCCGGGATCATCAATACAAGCCGGTCGATGGTCGTAAAACAGCACACAACCAGTGTATCCTGGAATATTTCCTTTCCTACAAAATTACTGTATATGAGCATAAATGTATGAACCTGGCGAGCAGCTTGTTCTAACTAAGGCCTGCTTATATGAGGGGAAATTGGGCGTTTGCTACGACGGGATGAGAAATACAGTCGGGAACGTAGAATTCTAGGTATATTTATTTCATATATTGATCGCCCTTGTTTATATCGAAGAGCCCCAAATTTCGTCCCGTATACCGCCAAGGCGAGATTTTTAACAATGGGAACCCTCCGAAAGCTAGATGCGTTTTGCGATGACGCTACTTTCTGAGTGACCGCGACAATATTTAACAGTTATTCTGGGAACTTCTGTCGTATATATATGAGCTGATAGACGATGAGGTGCGCAACACCGAGTCAGTGGTGTCAGGTAACGAAGTAAATGTACTTCGTAACTGTACTTGAGTACTATTTTTGAGAACTCAGTATGTAACAAAGTATACGTAAACTTTTTCTGGAGTACTTTTACTTGGAACGAAGTCGTTTTAAAAAGTAACGTTTTACTTCGTTATTTTCATTTTGTGGCGAAGTATTTCGTTACTTTCTAACTTTTGTTTTAATTCACGTAATTTATTTCTGATTTATTTTAATTTTGAGATAGCTAATATAGGACCTCTACATGCATCTGGGATCTCTCGTTTGTGGCTTACCTATAACCATTATTTATTTAACAGGTTTCTTATATCTTCAACGGGGTCTGGAAAGTAGACCATGTCGTGAAATATTGTATATTAGGTGCACGCATATAATGCATGTACTGTTTTGTGTCTTTTGCATGTCAATCCATTGGAGAAGTCCCCCTCCCCCCTACACGCTACAGACCATAGTACTTTTACTTTTTATTTCAAGTATTTTTTAAGGACACTTTGTACTTTTTACTTAAGTACGTTTTTCCTCCAGTACTTTTTACTCTTACTCAAGTCGTTTTATTGTTAATTACTTGTACTTTTATAGTCGAGTACAAATTCAAAGTAATTTAGGCACCACTGCACCGAGTTGGCTATCAGTCATATACAACGGGAGTGAATAGAATAATTTTTTTATATACACGGTGTATAAAAACGAGATAATTGAACTTCAGCGCACAATTATATGTGAATTACTCGGCGTATGAACATACTGACTTTTTTCATTTTCAGAAAGATCAGGCTTTATTTGATCAGGCATTGAATGACATGTTTTTCATGCCAAGTGGAGAAAAAATAAGCAAGTATACAAGTCCGATAAAAAAGGTTAGTCAGAATCGCATAATTTTTCACCTCTGTGACTTATTAAAGCAGTGCATAACAAAAGAAAAAGCAATTAATCACACTACCGCTATGCCGCCACCACTAATTAGAGACTATCGACCAATCTGATTCGTTTCACATAGGCTTGCACGGGAAGGGAAAAAATTAGGAGGGCGAGAAGAAATTTGGGGGAGGGGGGCGAACGACGAAATAAAATTCGGAATGTGTTGATATAAATTTTTTATAACTTTTATATTTTCCTATGCCTACGCCTATGACGTTTCATATATCGAATTAACGAATCAGACGCGGACTAAGCCAGTGAGAGGTGGTGGAAGCCAAATATGAACCTCTCTGATGAAGCTTTAGTTAGGGACTACAGTATCCGAACCGAGTCTCGCGGTTGATGCATAGTGTATATATATACCGTCATTTAAAGTCGACCTATCATGGAGAGTGATGTGCAAGTTCTTATTCTTTAAAATTCGGCTGAATCGCCTTTAAAATATACAGAATGGAACTGAGATATTTTGAGGCACAGTTGTATCTTTTTTAAATCAGTTTATAATAGTTTTAATTTTGATACATTAAAGAAAACCCGCAGTTAAGGTGTGATAAAGCGCTGTAACACTGTGCAACGTGACTGGCAACTTGCTCGCAGTTATTTTGCTACAGATATTGCATGCAAGCGGAACTGTAATGTGTACTGTATGTCATCAAGTCTCGCAACATTTCTGTTGCAACAACCATTGCACGCACGCAGTGGAATCAGATTCCACTTATTGCATGCAACGTTTGCGGCAGCGCTGCAACACATCTTGTCTCGCACTGTTTAGTCACTGAATGGTTTCTTATTAGCCCTTGGTAGACAATTGGCGTCAAACGTAAGAATTTGCGGTTTTTATTCTATTTACCATGATAATTGCACGTTGCATGAACTATAATTATTGCATGCTTCATGTAACATCGCTCGCATGGATGGCAATGTGGAAACTGTTTTTCTTAACATTGCGGGACAAGTTAAATAGTGTATAAGAGCACCTATATATACTACCACTGCTGTAGTATTATTACTGCATTGCTGTTGTATTATTTTTGGTTATATAAAAACATCTTTTGTTATTTTGTTCGATATATAGCCTAGTAGTAAACACTTATACTGAATAGGTGGAATGCAATCAATTTCACGAGAGTTTAATTTAACACAAAGGCAATCTCACGAGAGTTTAACACAAAGGCAGAAAGGATATTAGAAATTGTAGGGTTCTTCTGAGTCTAATATCGCAAAATATTATATGGAGACTTCAATACATGGGTTTCATTTAATGTCACATCCACTCACGTGGGGTTCAAGAGTCTGTGTCAAAGGTAAAGGACTGTTTTTATTTGGTTTATATTATTTTATATTGCAGGGTTTTAATGCTAATTTACATCGCGTGATTGAAAAAACAAAGTTGAAGCTTTGCCATATATATTGGATAAATCCAACAGGTGTTGTAAGGCGATCATAAATATACGATATTAATTAAATAACTAATTAGCGACAAGAACATAGTTTCAAAAACAAGTGTGCATTAAAAAAAGAACTCAATTCCATGCATTAAGTATAAGTGAAAGATAATTTGATCTAATCATGTTTTAACGAAAGAAGATTATTTTTATCTAACTTTGGATGTAAATAAATTAGGTTTCCCACGCTTTTTTAATTTAGGAGAAAATTAAAATTGGCAGAAACAGTTTTAATTGATAAAATATCTTAAAAGATTTGATAAAAAAGGAAAAAGTCACGATAAACTGCTATATGACCAAGATCCTCCAGTAGCTGGTAAAATATCGAGCATGCACGTAACCCTATATTGAAGATCCGTGATTGGTCAATGGCATATAGCTCATATTCCGCTAGTAGAGATCTAATCAGATTGCAGAATAGCTCATAATTATCCGGTAAAATATCTATTTAATAACAAGTAGTAATAATAATACGCTGACAATTATAAACGGTCGTCGTTCTAAATGACATAGTAATTATATGCTGTGTCTGCTATATTGGTTGTTTTGAACCGACTTATAGAATCGAGCATCTCTGCAGTGGACGCGCTATTTCCACTCATGCATGCACTTTAGAAACACGATAGAAAAATGTATTTGAACACTTCGTGGCAAATTATCGCAATACAATTGAAGATAGCACTGACCTTGCAGTATCAGTATATTTAGGCTGTAATGTTCTCTGTTTGTTCCATGAATTAAAAGATGATTTTGGATCGTCAATTTCTCCAGGTCCACCACTCACATTTCCCCTACAAGATTATACAGTCGAGTTCATTTGCTATGAAAATGTGCTAGTTAATATTACACGATATTATAGATATTATATAAGACCTAAAATCATCCAGATAGTATACAGATTGAATGTTATATATCAAGTTGGAATTTTATATTGAATGATTCATTGATGATCATAATATATGATTCATTCAACGTTATATTGATCATTCAACGTTATATTATATTCATTTGATCGATTGATTCATAATATATTACTCCACGTTACAGTTGAATGATTTATTGAGATACAAAACAAATATACACCTGTGCTACATATATAACGTTCAAAATAAATATATATGAGATTTCGATGGATGGAATTTGGCATAAACTAAGCCGCCCAATGAAAAGATCCTTATATAATAATGGATGTGTGTGCATGAATGGTCAAAAATATGGAAATTTCGATTGGTTCTGTCAATCTGTAAACGCTGTCAAAGGAAAACTAACAGTGAAGCGCATTTGACAATAACTTACATGTATCCTGGTATATATGAAATCTTCTTATGAGGCGAGCAGCTAGAAAGAAAGAAGATTTTACCTACAAACCATTTAAATTTGCGTAAGAGCAATATTGTGGCGCCTTTATCCATGTTCGAATATACAGTATATTTTACAATACCATGCATGCAGCGTTAGCCATATCAGCAGAGCTGTGACGAGTTACGGCTTGTGGGGTGTACAACACCATGCACCGGTTATATGAGTCGAGTAATTTCATGATCAGGTAAATTTATACATGTATAGGTGTGGAAGTTCAAAGTCAATGCAGGCTAAGAATTCAAAATCTTAGTCGTATATTTTCTGGCTTTCTGAGGATTAAAGATTCAGGCAATTCGAGCACTCTGCCCCCCCCCCCTTCCACCAATCCTCCTGCAACCAACGACAAAGGTGTGGCTTCGCAACGTCTCCGCATGTCTGTCAGGGAACCGTCTTTGGAACATGCAACACAAGTTTTCGCAAAGAAACATTAATAGTTGAGTATGTTTATAAACATACTCAACTATTAATTTTTCTGTGTACGCGTGAATTTGTGTTACAGTATATACGAATAGAACGAAATAGACGATTTAAAAAAAAACTATTAATAGCAAGACCAGAGGACATATTACGTAACGCGTGCACGCTCAAACGAATGAGTATATAATATATTGACAATTATCTGAAACTATACTATTTTTACGTTCCTGAAACAGCAGATGCACTTAATAACTAAGTAATTTTAGTTAGGTATGAAAACGATGTTAGGTCTTGAACACTTTTCATTGCATATACGTGATATAGAAAAAATGCCTATGTAATGATTTTTCTGCAGAGCAC